TCCCCTACTACCGCCTCTTCCCCTACCGCACTGCCCCGCTCCCCCCCCCGCCTCTCTTCCTCACGCCAGGTGCTGCTGCTGCAGACCCCCTCCCCCCTTAGGGTGCCGCTCCCTCAGGTGTGTCTCAGGTAGACCCGGTTGAGCCTGTTGAGGTAGCTGTCGACTCTCGTCCTACTGGGGGTGCTGAGCCTGGGGGTGCTGAGCCTGGGGGTGTGGAGCCTGGGGATGTGGAGCCTGGGGGTGTGGAGCCTGGGGGTGTGGAGCCTGGGGGTGTGGAGCTTGAGGGTGCTGAGCTTGGGGGTGTGGAGCCTCGTGGTGCTGAGCTGCGGAGTCCGGAGTCTGGGGGTTCTGAGTCTGGAGGTACTAGGCCTGGGAGTCCTGCACCTGGAGGAGCCCTCTCCTCGGAGCAGCTGCGTGCGTGGTACTTAGAGTACTGCAGCCTCCGGAGAGGTACCGCTCGAGCCGGACGTACTACTGGGACTGGTGCTAGTGCTTCTTCTCCCGTTCGGGAGCTCCCCTCCCGCGAGCGGATCCGTGAGTGGTACGAGCGGCGCTGCACTCTTTGGAGTGGCGTGCCTCGTGTTACGGACCCTGCTGTTGTTGGAGCTGCTGCTGGTGCTGAGGACCCGGGCGTTGGAGCTGCTGCTGGTACTGAGGACCCGGGCATTGGAGCTGCTGTTGGTGATGAGGACCCAGGCGTTGGAGCTGCCGCTGGTGCTGAGGACCCGGGCGTTGGAGCTGCTGCTGGTGCTGAGGACCCGGGCGTTGGAGCCGCTGCTGGTGCTGAGGACCCGGGCATTGGAGCTGCTGCTGGTGTTGAGGACCCAGGCGTTGGAGCTGCCGCTGGTGCTGCGGACCCGGGCGTTGGAGCTGCTACTGGTGCTGAGGACCCGGGCGTTGGAGCTGCCGCTGGTGCTGAGGACGTGGGCGCTGGAGCTGCTGCTGGTGCTGCGGATCCTGGTGCGGGTGTCCCTGCTGGCTCTGGTGTCGCTGCTCGGTCTCGGCCGTACTTTGTTCCGCTCCTTCAGCAGGTTCTTGGTCAGCTTCCTCCTCCTTTTCCTCCTCCCTCCTTAGCGTGTCCTCCGCCTGACCAGCTGCAATCGGCGTTACCGTCTGCCTCCTTTCTCCCTGGTCCTGCTCCTTACACTGGTCCGACTGGAGGTCTTACTGAGCGGCGTGAGCCTGCGTCTCGTCCTGCGTCGCCTGAGTCTCGTCCTGAGTCGCCTGTCCGCACTGCTCTTTCTAGTAGTCGAGTCCAGCGTCAGCGTCTTCCTGCTGTCCCAGGCACTCACCGGATGGCGCTTCGTCCGTCCACTGCTCCACAGCGTGTTCCACTGCCGTCTCCTCCTGCTTCCTCTCTTCTTGCTCTTGCTGACCCTGGGTCAGACTCTCTTCGTGCTACCAGTCCTACTGTCACGCGTCTCCTGGCTACTGTTGTCACTGACCCTTCCTTTGAGTCTGCTGCTGCGTCTGCCTTAGTTGCTGAGCTTGTCGACTTTGCTGCTCGCTGTCGTCTAGACTACGCTGCTAGCCTAGTTGCTGAGTCTGAGTCTGTCTGTCCTCCGTCCGTCAGGGGTGAGTGTGCTCTTGGCACTGACGTCCTTGAGGACAGGCAGGAGGAGTTTGAGTGCTTTGCTGCCGCTTTGCCCCATCTCGTGTCCATGCTTGTTGCCCCTGAGGGAGACCCGGATGCACCAGACATCCCGACCCCACGCTCTTACGCAGAGGCGATGGTCGGTCCCTACTCCTCTCAGTGGCAGTCACCCATGGACACAGAGATGGCTTCCTGGAAGTCCACAGGCACCTACGTCGACGAGGTTCCCCCACCTGGGGCGAACATCGTCAGTGGCATGTGGATTTTCAGGGTGAAGCGGCCGCCGGGCTCACCGCCTGTCTTCAAGGCGCGTTACGTTGCACGAGGCTTCAGTCAGCGAGAGGGAGTTGACTTCTTCCAGACCTTCTCCCCGACCCTGAAGATGACCACTCTTCGGGTGCTGCTGCACGTCGCCGCTCAGCGTGACTACGAGCTCCACTCGCTTGACTTCAGCACTGCTTTCCTACAGGGCAGCCTGCACGAGGAGATCTGGCTGCGCTGTCCACCTGGCTTCACTGGGTCGTTCCCTCCTGGTACCCAGTGGAGCCTCCGACGGCCAGTCTACGGTCTCCGCTAGGCGCCTCGTGAGTGGCACGACACACTGAGGACTACGCTTGCGGCTCTTGGGTTCGCGCCTTCTACTGCTGACCCGTCGCTGTTTCTACGCACCGACACCTCACTGCCGCCGTTCTACGTCCTTGTGTACGTCGACGACTTGGTCTTTGCTACTGCTGACACTGTGGCACTCGCCCACGTGAAGTCGGAGCTGCAGAAGAGACACACGTGCACAGACATGGGTGAACTGACAAGCTATCTTGGCTTGCGGATCACCCGGGACAGAGCACGCCGCACCATCACCTTGACTCAGTCACACATGGTGCAGCAGGTCCTTCAGTGCTTCCGCTTCACGTACTCCTCGCCTCAGCCCACTCCTCTGCCTACCGGTCACTCGCTCTCAGCTCTGCCTTCGGATGAGTCCGTAGAGCCGAGTGGCCCGTATCCAGAGCTTGTGGGTTGCCTCATGTACCTGATGACCTGCACTCGACCAGACCTTGCATACCCTCTCAGCATTCTTGCACGCTATGTCGCTCCCGGCCGTCACCGGAAGGAGCACATGGATGCAGCTAAGAGGGTGTTGCGCTACTTGTGCAGTACGTCGGGCATGGGGCTAGTGCTTGGAGGGCGAGTCCCAGTTGTTCTCACTGGGCACTCAGACGCTTCTTGGGCAGACGACCAGGCTACTCAGCGGTCGTCTCAGGGTTACTCCTTCAGTCTTGGCTCTGGTTCTGTTTCTTGGCGTTCTACTCGCTCTTCTTCTGTTCTCAGCTCCAGTTGTGAGGCTGAGATCTACGCCACAGCCATGGCGGCCCAGGAGCTACGCTGGCTCACCTACTTGCTGACCGACCTTGGAGAGCAGCCTCATTCTCCTCCAGTGCTGTACGTCGACAACAAGGTAGCCATTGCCTTGTGTGAGGAGCACAGACTGGAGCACAGAACGAAGCACATTGCTCTGCGCTACTTCCTTGCTCGAGAGCTGCAGCAGCGTGGTCAGCTTCGCCTGCGTTACGTGGCCTCTGAGGCCAACACTGCTGATGTGTTCACCAAGGCGCTTCAGCCTTGTGACCATCAGCGCTTTTGCACTCTTCTAGGCCTTGTGCCTACTGGACCTCACTTGCTTACTTCTTGAGTCTGTTTGTACTGTGATCTCTATATATATATCTGCATGTTTACTCTTGTTAGGTTGTGATCATTGTACCTTTTGCTCTATTATAAACTTGCATGTGAACTGGTCTTGTGACCACTTGCTTGTGCTCGGAATTTGTGTGGTATCCTTGAGATCCACCCTGAGCTTGTTTTGCCTTGCTTTGCCTTGACTGGTCTTGTGACCCCTAGTTCTCCCCCACTTTGCCTATGGGGGTGTGTCAAACATTATATATGTTGTGTTAGTTTAGGCTACAGTGGGTTAGCCTATAGGGGGTACACAATTCTAGGGTTAGGTACTTGTACTCATTTCACTGCTAGTTCATTCATTCCTGTTCAGTGATTCCAACAGTCCCACGCTGTTGTTTTGTGTTGGTGTGCCGGACGAGATGACGATCGGCTCGTCCGATTGTGCAGATGCATTTGTCGGTGCGTGTGGTGGCGCTGGAGTGTTCATCGTTGATTGCTGACGCGCGGAGTCACGTTCCGCCGTGAGTGTCGCAATTTCGAACGCCGAATCTTCAAGTTGGCGCACCAAGCGGTCGAGCTGCTCCTGCGTCAATGTGGCGAGCGTGAATTCGGCCATGGCGGAGGTGTCGGGCGAGCTCAGCAAGAGCCTCGGTCGTGGCCGTGTGTGCTTACGAGAGAGCACTACGAGCGGCGGTGCTGTGTCGCTGAGAGACGTCTACCCCCCCCAAAATTTGAGATAGTGGGGAAGCGAAGGTGTGGGTGCGGTCCGAGAAGAGATCGTATGCTCTGAATACCAAGTGTTACGAGTGCAATTGAATGAAAGAACGAGAATTGCACTATCGAAGCAAGAGTACAATGAGCGAAGGCATGAGCGAAGAATATATAGCGAAACTACAGTGGTAACGGTAATGGATTGTGGTTGTCGCGCGACGGGCCTGGGACTGAGGTTGGGAAAAAGTGTCGAAGCGGAGGCCTGGAGCGCGGGTTACCCGTCGAGCCGTGAGGTCGGGGTGCGACGTGCGAAGGTGGCGGGCGGATTGTCGATGCGAGGGTTGCGAGTGGTAACGGTGCTGACTCTGGTGCTACAGTGATGTACTCGTTGAGCAGGGATGCGAAGTAAGGAACAGGGATTTTCCTTGCACAAAGCAAGGTCTCGCACAACCACTAAGGGCGACGTCAGGTTGTACAACTTTTTGTACGCCCTCTCCGGTAAATTTCGTTTCAACACGGTGAAGAGCGGTAATTGTCGCAAACCGCTTTTCACCGTGTTAGACCGTCCTGAACCACGATACAGGAACTGTAAGCGCGTGTGAAGTGTGTAACCTGACGTCGCCCTAATGCAAAGCAGAGCAAAAGAAGGAAAATAATTACCCTTTCGCACCCAACCCAACCCCGGTCACCCAAGCACCATATGCTCAAAATCGCTGATTACCGCACTCCGCCACTCGACCAGTGCCACATGCACACGCGCATTCCGTTCTAGTTTCAACTTCTGAAGGAGAATTGGGAAGTACGAGCAGCTTTGTCAGCGCACTGCCAAAACCACGCGATCCGCTACGGCGCACACTCGGGGGCGATCCACCACCATTTGCGCCTCACCTCTCCCCGCGCCTGCCTCATTCATTACACCCCGCGCGCACCTGCGGCCTCCGCGCGCTGCCCTGCGTCGCCAGCTGCGGAACCGCTCGCCGCCGCGCATCACAGTCCCTCCGCCGGTCCGCGCAGCCCCCGCGCCATGGCCGACCTGGGCAACGCCGACCGTCCGGCGCAGGGCACGGCGCGCGGAGGCAACGGCGCAGCCCCAGCGGGCTGTGATAAGGGGCTCATTCCGCGGTCGAATAAGGAGTACCTCAATATCGAGTACTGGTGAGCGCTTCAGCGAGGACGAGAAAAGGAAAGTAAATCCGCAAAAGGCGGGTACAGTGGGGGCGAGGGAGGGAGACGGGGATCGCGCGGGGAGGGGAGGGAGATGGCGCCTGGATTGGTCTTGGTGGTGTGACTACACTCTAAGTACTTGTGAACCCTGAACCTTGAACCCTGTACCCTATACCCGAACTTCGTGGTGCAAGGGGTGGCGGGGTGTGCGGCGTGTGGGAGCAGGGAGGGCAGACGAGGGCGCGTGGAGCATGGGGTGGTAGGGACTCGGGTGACAGGGATGCACCATGCATGTATGCAGGCTGTGACATGCCTCAACCTGAACAGTGAAGAACAACCTATGGCATGCATGGTGTGGCATCTGATGGCATGGCATGGCACGGCATGGCGTGGCATGGCGTGGCATGGCACGGCATGGCATGGAATGGCATGGCATGGCATGGTATGGCATGGCATGGCATGGCATGGCGTGGCATGGCACGGCATGGCATGGCATGGCATGGTATGGCACGGCATGGTATGGCACGGCATGGCATGGCATGGCGTGGCACGGCACGGCATGGCATGGCATGGCATGTCATCAGGGACAAGCGGTTTGAAGTGGAGGAGTCGTTTGAGTGGTGCGGGGACTACTCGCAGTTCAAGCACCTGCTGCTCGCACACATCCGCCCCTGCGACCGGGTAAGATACTTCCATCCATCCTCACATCACCCCTCCACATTCCCCCGTTTTCTTGCAAGGCGCCTCACAACCACACCCTTCCTCACGGTCCTGTGCTGTGCTGCTGCTCGCCCACACCCCCCTCCCCCCCTGCCACCGAGTACTCATGCCATTCTCTCTGCCTTTCCAAGCGCCTCATACTGCCGCTCCCTGCACATACTCCCTGCTGCCTTCCCAAGCCTCCTATGTTTCCTATCGTCCTGCATCTTCTCGTTACTCTTGCTTGCAGCTGTTCGCTGTGTCAGCCATCTGCCCCTCAACCCCCCTGCCCCTCCACGCGTGCCCCTGTCGTGCGCGCATGCCAGGTGCTGATACTAGGCAACGGCACATCAGACCTGCCAGAGTGCCTGTGGCGGGACGGCCGCCGCCACATCACCGCCACCGACCTCTCTGCTCTTGTGGTGCACCGCATGGCACAGCGCAGCACCGATCTGGGAAGTGCCGTTGTGTGCGCTGCTGCCCCTGCTGCAGCGCCTGCCACAGCCGCCAATACAGCCCCGGATGCTGCTGCTGCTGCTGCATGTGATTGCACCGGCACACACGCCGAGGCAGCCGCGCACACAGCTACTGGGGAGGCGCCTGGAGGGACACAGCCCCCGCAGCAGCATCAGCCGCAGCCGCCCTCCCCCTCTACCACTCGTGTGGACAGCAATGGCATGGGTGCGGTAGCAGGGGGCAGAGAGGGGCAGGCGCAGCATGCATGCTCAGGTAGTACTGGCTCTACTGGCTGTGCAGGCTGCAACACCTCTGGTGACAGCAGCAATGGGTGTGAGCCGCGCAGCAACAGCAACAGCAGCAACGGCGGCGGCAGCAGTGGTGGGGGAGTGGTGTGCGAGTGTGGGAGGGCGGTGGGCATCACATGGGCGGTGGCGGACATGATGGCTCTGCCCTTCCCCGATGCAGCCTTCGATGTCGTGCTCGAGAAGGGCGTGCTGGTGCGATCACTATTCATGCTTCATGGGTGATGGGTGATGGGTGATGCTTCATGGGTGATGGGTGATGCTTCATGGGTGATGGGTGATGCTTCATGGGTGATGGGTGATGGCTGATGCTTCATGGGTGATGGGTGATGGGTGATGCTTCATGGGTGATGGGTGATGGCTGGGAAGAGTAGATTGGGTGGGGTGAAGGTTTGAGAAGGCTGTTGTTTGTGAGGAAGGGCGCCATCCACCATCCATGCTGTTTTTTTCTTCTCTTTTCTTTTTCTCTTTTTTTCACTGCCACTACCTCTCTTCCACCAAAATCCCGTGCATCCTCTTCATTGCTGTGCATGCACCCCACCCCACCCCACCACACCCCACCACACCACACCACACCACACCGCAACCCAAATGTAGCTGCCAACACAGCTACCATCTCTATCCCATCGTGTTCCTATCAGCCACTTCCACCCCCCCCCTCTTTCCCCTCACACTTTCCTCTCCCCCTCTCCCATTCTCCCTCTCTCCCTCTGCCCCTCTCCCCTCCGCCCTCAGGACGTGCTATTTGTGGACAGCGACTCCCCCTGGCACGTGCCGCCCCCCACCGTGCAGCGCGTGCACACAGCGCTCTCACAGGCCCACCGCGTGCTCACCCCACACGGCCGCCTGCTCTCCATCACCTTCGGACAGGTGCGCTGTCACACAGGTGCGCTGTCATACACGTGCGCTGTCGGCCAGGTGCTGTGCAGGGGGACAGGATGAGGTACAGCCGACGGGCTGAGAGAGAGGGAGAGAGAGTGGATGGAGCAGGCGGGTAGGTGCTCTGCTGGGCGAGGGAAGGATGGTACAGCCAACGGGTGGAACGGGGGGAGGGGGGATAAGGGGTAGGGGGATGGGGGGAGGTGTGGATGCTGCAGAATGGGCATGGGTCTCATGGGTGCCATGGGATATGGGTACGGGGCAAGGGGGGAACTTGTCAGATGTCTTGCATTGTTCCAAGTCAAGCGCCCCGTGTCCCTTGCCTACCACAGCACATGCATCTGTCACTTTTCAGAGCTGTCAAAAGTATCTCTTTTCCGTGCCTACCGTAACAAATGCCACCAATCTCACCCCTCGCCTCGCCTCACCTCTGTGTCCTGCCACGTCTCACACTGCCTCACCACGTCTCACACTGCCTCAGCACGTCTCACACTGCCTCAGCACGTCTCACACTGCCTCAGCACGTCTCACACTGCCTCAGCACGTCTCACACTGCCTCAGCACGTCTCACACTGCCTCAGCACGTCTCACACTGCCTCAGCACGTCTCACACTGCCTCAGCACGTCTCACACTGCCTCAGCACGTCTCACACTGCCTCAGCACGTCTCACACTGCCTCAGCACGTCTCACACTCTCCAAGCTTGCCTCTCTTCCCGCCCCTCGCCCTCTCCTCCACTCGCTCCCCCTGCAGCCTCACTTCCGTCGCCCCCTTTACGAGGCTTCTCACCTCACATGGACGCTGCAGGTACTCCCTTTCCCCGCCACACTCCTCTTCCCCTCCTCACTCCTCTTCCCCGCCACACTCCTCTTCCCCTCCTCACTCCTCTTCCCCGCCACACTCCTCTTCCCCTCCTCACTCCTCTTCCCCTCCTCACTCCTCTTCCCCTCCTCACTCCTCTTCCCCGCCACACTCCTCTTCCCCTCCTCACTCCTCTTCCCCGCCACACTCCTCTTCCCCTCCTCACTCCTCTTCCCCGCCACACTCCTCTTCCCCTCCTCACTCCTCTTCCCCGCCACACTCCTCTTCCCCTCCTCACTCCTCTTCCCCTCCTCACTCCTCTTCCCCTCCTCACTCCTCTTCTCCGTCTCACTCCTCTTCTCCTTCTCACTCCTCTTTCCCGCCGCACTCCTCACTCGATTGGGGACTCCATCCATGTTCGCGTTATTTCTAAAATATTATTGTTGTGCTGTGTGCCCCACCGTGCCCCTCTGTGCCCCTCTGTGCCCTGCTGTGCCCTGCTGTGCCCCTCTGTGCCCCTCTGTGTCCCTCTTTGCCCCTCTGTGCCCCTCCGTGCCCTGCTGTGCTCCAAACCTGCAGCACACGGCCTTTGGGGACTCCTTTCACTACTTCCTCCTCCACCTCGCCAAGGTGTGCGCTGTCCACCAAAACCCCTCCCACCCCACAACCCAAAATGCGGAACCTCTTCCTAGATATTCCCAAGTCTGAGTTGTCAACTGAGTTGTCAAAGCACACCTGTGCTGAGTAGTGACCATGTTTGCACGTGCCTCCCACCCACGCTCACCGCCCATTTGCTGTCACCCTGTACTGCTCGTCCTTCTCCCTTGGTGCTACGCAGGGAGCTCGTACTCCCACAGCCGGAGACAATGCCTCTGCTGCCGATGGTGATTCTGAATCGGCGGGTCTTGTGATAACTCTACCGCAGTCCTCGGATGCCCAACCACCGTTGGATTTAGAGCATGAGTTCATGGATTCGGCTGATTTCTTCTCCCACTGTTCCCTCGGACTGGATTAATTATTGTGCTTAGATGCTGAGGCAATTTCACTATTGGCAAAGTCTGTTTCTATCGAAAGCTGTATTTGAACTGCAAGTTGGTTGAAAGTGTAGACTTGTTTTCGGCACGACAGTTGCGCGCCGAGCTCGACGGATCCTGCTTTCCCCTCCACCCAAACCACTCCCCTCCCCCGCCTCCACTTGAACCAAATTCTCAACCACACTCCCTTCTGCCGCGAGCTATGGCTGCTCGCCCCCTCGCCGCCCTCCGACTCTCCTCCCCCTTCACCCCCATCCGCATTCCGTCCCCGATCCCCCTCATTCGCCGCTCCGCGTCCCCGTGCGCGCTCCCCTGTGCTGCACCGCGCTGCTACCGCTTGCGCAGAATCCGCGGTTCCCCATCGTGCGCGCATCTTCCGTCGTCCGCTGCGTATCCCGTCCCCTCGCCTCTTTCACCCCCAATTCCGCCAGCCCAGCGCGCCTTCCCCACGGGAGAAGCCGCACCAGGCGGATACCTGACACGCACAGCAATCGCTCACGGCTGCGCGGGTGATCGCCGCTGCCGCAGCGGGGTGGCGCGCGCAGCAGGCGCAATGGCGGAAGCTGGGGGGTTAATGGCGGAAGGCAGCGGGGAGCAGAACAGCGGAGCGCGCAGCAGCGAGTGGGGCGGCGGCGCAAGCAGGGTGCGAGTGCGGCGGGTGGGCGCGAATCCAACGGAGATCATCGATCTGCCCGCCGAGTCGCGCTTCCGCGCGTCGCCAGCAGCAGACGGCGCAGCGGCAGAAGCCGCGGATGGCATTGCCGGGCAGATCCGCAGCAGCATCGCGGAAGCTTCTTCCGCGGGGGTTCCCCCGCCCGCGGTGCTAGTAGTGCCTGGGAATCCAGGCGTGTGCGCGTATTACACGGACTTTGCGCTCGCGCTGCACTCCGCGCTTGGCGGAGCTGCGCGCGTGGTGGTGGTGGGACACGTGGCGCACACGGAGCGCGAGATGGAGGGCGGACGTCTGTACTCGTTACAGCACCAGATCCAGCACAAGATAAGGTTCATCCAGGAAGAAGCGGGTATCGCTGCAGCAGGAAACGAAGCTGACGAAACCGCGTACCAGCAACAACGGCAACAACAACAGCCACCACAGCAGCAGCAGCAGCAGCAGCGGTGGGTAGTGGTGGGGCATTCAATCGGCGCGCATATAGCAGTGGAGATGCGCAGGCACCTACCCTCCCACGTGGTGCACGTGGTGGGGCTCTTCCCCTTCCTCACCTTCAACCACCAATCAGACGAGCAGCGGCGCCTGAAGCTGATCGCGTCGCTCACGCCGCTGCTGGCGGTGGTGGCGGCGCTGCTGCAGGTGGTGCGGGTGCTGCCGGCGCGGGTGGTGCAGTGGGTGGTGCGGCGCGGCGTGGGGAAGGCGTGGAGCCATGGTGCCGTGCATGTCACCGCCACTGCCATGCTCCGGGTGGGTTGATTGCTTGGCGCCATGCTGTCATCACATGCACTCATGCGTACTTTTGAGGTGCTTCAAAAGGCGGGGCGTGGGGAAGGCGTGGAGTCATGGCGTGGTGTGGTGCATGTCACCGCCACTGCCATGCTTCGGGTGGACCCATTGCTGACATTCTGGCATCACATGCACAGATGCAGACATGCACACATGCACATGCAAAGACAGGGAAGTGCATTAACACACTGAGAGGGGCGGTGCCCTGTGACTGTTCCATGTGTGTTGTGATTCGTTAATCTCATCTCTAGCACCGTCTGTAGCACATGAGCATTCTGCTCCGCGGCATCTCTCTCAATCGCCTCCCTAAATGATTCCGGTTCCTCAAATCTCCCTTCTACCACTCCTTGCTTGTGTTGTCCTGTGCCACTCATCATCCATCTCGCGTCATCCATCGCCCTGCCCACCGTGCACTCTCCATGATGCCCCATGGCAGTACAACATGCTGCGCAACTATGCATACATGGGGCACACCGAGTTCATCTATGTGAGTGCCTCTGCACTTCCCATTTCCCCCCTTGCCATTCCCACTCTTCCTCGCTGCCTCGCTTCCCCATTTCCCCATTTCTTCACTTCCCCTTTCGAACGATACTCCTATCTCCACCGGCACCTTGGTTTCTCTCTTTCACTGGAACGCCTTTCTTTGCTTTCCCAATCGCTGCCATCGGCACCCACCTCTTGCATCATTCCATCATCCCATGCTATCATCCCCTCTTGCAGTAACCGGGGCCCCTTCAACACATACATGCCTACACCCTTTGCTGCCTTTTTCCAAGTCAGCCCAGATTCACCCTCGCTTGCACTTACTCATCCTTCATCCTTGCTCCCTTGTGCCTCCGCTCCACCAATCAACCTCTCCGCCTCGCACCCCCGGGAGTGAGCAGTTTTCGCAGCGGGAGTTTGACTGGGCGTTTCTGAGCAGCAATGCGCCGCACTTCACTTTCATCTTTGGCCGCGACGACCACTGGGGCCCGCTGCACCTGCACCAGCAGGTGGGCCCCTCCGCCCATCCCCCTGCTGCTCGTGATGCCATGATTTGATGCTGTGCTGACATGATGCTGTGGTGCCATGATGCCATGATGACGTGGTGCCATAATTCGATGCAACCATACCATGCCATCTGTCATCAGCATCGCACTTCCATGCTCTCTCACACCCTTGTCCCTCTCTCCAACCACCCTTCTTGCTGCCGCAGATGCAGGAGCGAGTGCCAGAGGTGGCAGCATACGTGGACGAGGAGGGGCATGAGCACACCTTCTGCTGCACCGACAGGGGTGCCAGCAGAATCGCAACACACGTCGCCAAGCTGCTGCGCTCGCAAGGCACTCTCCCTGCTACATAGCTGCTCCACCAGGCACTGGCGTTTGGTGGAAGTCCTCACTTTTTCTCAATAACTTCATCAGCACCTCATAGCACTTCAGTATGTACTGTATCAGGGAACCCGGCTAGCAGGATGACGCATTGGAACCATGTCCTTCTGTGAACATATTTGACCTACATCTTGTTGGGCTGAAAAGCCCTAGGATCTTTGTAGAGTTAAAGTCTGAGTAAGTGATGTAATAGCAGAAGCGTTGAATTAAGTCCTTGAACCACCTTGCGCTAGTATGTGAGGGCAAAGTAAGTTAATTAAAGCAAAGAGATACAGGAATAAATATATGAGTACAAAGAATATGAAGAGACATTATGACTACTTTACTGTTGCGGTTCGATATAGTGCGACTCGGGCAACTGCTCAATGTCGAGTCAGTTGTGTGTCCTTGCTGTCGCGCTGCGTCAGGTCAAAGGTCGCTGACCTTTGACTTTCTCGTAACCTCCAGCGGTTACGTTATCTCGCGATGCTTCGATTTGAGCTGCTTCGCTTGTGTCTTGAGTTCTGACACGACAGAGGCGCTTAAACTATTTGTTCCCAACACATCTGATTAGTTTTTGCAGAACACCATTCCATTCCAGCATGGTGTGTACCAACCAAATTTGACATGACACACTGGTTTCATGAGCCAGCTACTGCAATATTAACAACAGTTGCCTAACAAAATTGGAAACACTGGTCCAAAACTTCAGCAGTACAAAACAAATGTACTAAAACTACAGCACCAAAGCGCATACATAATCACATTCAGTCCATGCAAAACACCTTCAGCTTGCTAGCAGTGCTCTCTCCTGCGCCTGCTTGCTTACGGCCACTGAATCCCAGCTCTCTTGTCTCCACTGGGCATTGAACCCATTAAGTGAAGTTAGCGACTAGGTGGCGGAAACAGCCTCTGAAGAACCGCTGGCACTAGGTCACATCCATAATGACCCCTTGCTCCGGCGAAGCCCATGCATCGAACACCACTACCACACCTATAACTCCAAGCTTCCCATTACTCAGGCCTTTCAGCGCGCTCCATCCACCTCCCCCCTATCTCCCCCGTCTCCCCCTTCCTCCCCCGGTCCTTACGTCGCGCGCGCGCGCTACTCCTCGGGCGGGGGCTGGTCGGGGTCCTTGTCGGGGTCGATCTCGGGGTCCTTGCGCTCCTCGTCCTCCTCCTCCTCATACGGCGGGTCCGCTGGGGGCGGCTGCGGGAGCGGGGGCTTCAGCGGGGAGAACTGCGGGAAAATGTCCGGTCTCCGTCCGGGCCCGGGTCGCTCCCATTCCTGCCACGCGCGGAGGCAATGAGCATGGGCGGAAAGGGGGGGAAACAGGTGGGGGACAACGGGGAAGAACGGCAGGAATGAGGCAGTGAAGGAGGAACGGAGGAGAGAAAATATAGCCATCAACCACACATGGAAAGATGACAGCGAGTAGGCAACATGCCGTTGACTTTTTTTTGTTTCAGGGACCAATGCAGGCAACTGGAGTGGGTAACGCTCGCTGGGACGGCTGGCACGTAGCAACTAGGCGATTATGCCGCACATGCAGCACGCAATAAGACATATATTAGCCGTTGAGACGCATTTCGTTGGCAGGACCAAGGTGGTCAGTGCTGCTCGCTGGCATGATTGCCAGAAATTGTTAGGAAAAAACTGATTCAAAAACTTCTTGCTAACAGACTGTCCTTGTCTAGCCTAACGAGGTTTAAAGAATTGTATACGATCAAAATACCAGTTTACTCGGGCGTGGTCTAAGCCCGTCGGACGGAAAGCCGAGCCGCCGCGCAGTATACCGGGCATCTCCTACGTATGGCCTCCCTTTGCATGTCCTAGTTTCGTTTGAATATATTAAATGCAGAAAAAAAAAATAGCAAACCGGATCGAAGAAAAGAAGAGGGTGCGAGGGTGAGGAGGTGGAAGGGGCGAGGGGGGAGAGAGGAGAGACGGCGTAAGGAAGGAGGGTAAAACAGGGTATGGAAGGAATAAAGCGCGAAACGAGACCAGAGCAAGAGAGAAGATCAAGGAGGAATGGCCTACCACAGGAAAGTCGAGCGGGGAGCGCTTGGTCATCTTCTCTTCATCGGGCGCCATCCTTGTTACCATGCGCTTCGAAGCCGCTTGCCTCCTCCCCACCGACACCCGTGAGCATCCCAGGAACGATGAGTCGGTGCAGCTGCCGCCAACTTGCACGCGCGCACAAGAAGCGACGACTCCATGCGACGACTGGGACTGGGGCTGCGAGGAAGGGACGACACTCGCGTGGAGAGCCTGCGACATGGCCACGCAACGCAAAGCCGCTGACGCGGCCATTGAAACTGATCAGGACCGCAAAGAAGTTTTTACGAAGGGCTCCGAACCGAAAGGATCAACCTTGACAGGGGTCGCTGAACTACTGGAGGCTAATCAGGAAAGATGAGGCTTGGAAGAATTACACTAGTTGGTTCTGATGAGCTTTAGATAAGCAGATGAGGGGTCTTGGGTTTGGCGGAGATTGGATGACTCCGCGGAACTTGAAGGGGGGCCTTTGCTGACGTGTTGACGCGAACGTGGCAAGAATGGTAAAAACAAGAGTGGACGTGAAATCCGCATCTGGAGGTTTCGATGTCTGTAACATTTGTTGACGTGGCATTACGCAGAATGCAGAACTCCCAATTCCTGCACAATCCGTTTATAGCGAAACAAGAGGGTCTACTGTATCACTAACAGCTTCTTCTTTAATACATGAGATCACTAGATAGCATGAGCCCTCACAAACTAGAGCTTGCTTTATCGCACTAATGGGCTAGCCAGAATGCAAAATGGAGAAACCAGGGAGGCTCAAACTTTCCTCTCTGTGCTAGGACAAAACATGCCGGTTTGGCTGTGACTTTTTGGCAGCTATGTAAGTAGTGCACATGTATGCGGTAGCAGTGCAGTAGCCCTCATAATTCAACCTACAGAATGTGACCACCATCCAGGCCTCTCGTTATCAGGGTAAAATACCCTTTTTGCACTGACTGGCGGCCGCTTTTTTTCAGTTACCCTTTCACAGGCAGGGTAGTGGATTTTTTACCCTAGGCCAGAAAGTGTAAGTTTTTCAATACCCTTTGAAAAACAGCATAAGGAACACATTACTCTGACTGTACAGTGTACAATCCAAGCTATACTGGTACTAAGTGCTCCGTAGCGAGACGAAACACTATACAGGTCCCTGCAAAACGATACCAATTAGCGAGAGTTGAACTTGCGTCATTACAGATCTAAGGGTGCGTGAGGTCTTTGAAATTTGTAAAAGTTTATGTTTTTAGGGCGAATTTTAGTTTCGAACTTACAACGAAAGAAGTTCGAATTTCCTTCTATCGAAGTTCGAACATCGGGCTTACCACACTGTAAAAAATCACACATACATACAAGGTCGAACCCCGACATTCGAACTTGTAAAAACGAGCCGAGCCGCACGTCAACATCATAGGTTACCCGGTTCGCTCGTCTTGACAGTGCGCCATGTCAACATTTTGCGCCTCGGTTTACAAGGACCTAGAGCTCCAACCCACCTTCCGCGCCGAGTGTGTAGCCAGGGTACAAATAGCCCCCGTGGCAACACCTTGTATGCTGGACACGTGGCTACAACTGTGTGCACGAATTGTGGGGTGTCTTCGTTGTGCAACTTCATGCACTGGCGAAGCGCTCGCCCGTTTCGCCAGCTGTTCGGACGTGCTGCAAATCACACACGCTCGAATGAACGTGAGCACGCACGTTCGCGCCTCCGACTCGAGTCAAGTTCATATTTCAAACTCGAACTTTTGCAGAGCCCATACAATGCTTGGTTCGCGAAGCACCCTTCGCGAAATTAGCGAATAGGGTAACCACCCAAAGTTCGAACTTTATTTTGAACTTCTAAACAGACCACACGCGCCCTAATGCGCAATTGAACTAGCTGAACTACTAGCCATTGATCTTGAGTGCTTCAAGGCTTAAACTAACCATATGTTTTTAAGAAAACCCTGCCCAAACAGACTAACTGTTTTTTAACCCTGCATTTGTCAGGGAAACAAAAATTTTACCCTACGCATCAGGGTTGACTATACCTAGAACCCTGATTACTGTCAAAATGAGGAATGATGATGCCATTGATGTTGGTTGGGGTACATATAACAAACCCTAACTTCTGTACCCCCTAAGACAAACCTCACTACAGGCTACAACATTTGACACACCCCCATAGCCTAAGTCAGGGGTGTCTAGCAAAATAAAAAGAGTACGGTCACAAGACCAGTCCAAAAGAAAACAAAGCTCAGGGTGGATCACAACGTCACCACACTCTCTGAGCACAAGCAACTGTGGAAACAAAGAACGAGAATGAAATGACTATGAACGAAGTGAGTACAAATAGGAAACCCTAATTGGGTTGTACCCCCTATGGGATACCCCACTATAGCCTACACAATAGTATAAGCTATATAGTTCTGACACACCCCCATAGGCAAAGTGGGGGAGAACAAGGGGTCACAAGACCAGTCAAGCAAAGCAAAGCAAAGCTCAGGGTGGATCACAAAGTCACCACACATTCCGAGCACAAGTTCAAGGGCCACAAGGCCAGTTCACATGCGAGATCATATATAGAGATATACAAGAATCAAGCAAGCAAGAGCAAGAGTATATATAGGAGAAGGTACAAGCAAGGTCAAGAGGAGAGCAAGTGAGGCAAGACAGCCACAAGACCCAACTGCGTGCAACAACGCTGATGATCACAAGGCGCAAGTGCCTTGGTGAAGACATCAGCAGTGTTGGCCTCAGAGGCCACGTACGCAAGTCGCAACTGTCCACGCTGCTGTAGCTCACGAGCAAGAAAGTAGCGGAGAGCAATGTGCTTCGTTCTGTGCTCCAGTCGCTGCTCTCGACACAAGGCCAGCATGGCCTTGTTGTCTACGTACAGGACTGGAGGAGAACGAGGCTGCTCTCCAAGGTCGGTCAGCAGGTAGGTGAGCCAGCGTAACTCCTGTGCAGCCA